CCACACTCAGAGCTGCCCTGCTGTCCAGCTCTCCAGTGCTTCACAAGTCCATGCCAGTCTCTAAAAGAGGTCCTCAATGTCAGCATCCTCTAGCAGATGAGAGACTATGAATGGCTCCTCAATTTCCCAAACCTGAGTTGACAACTCACAAAAACTGAACAGTGACCCAAGCCATCTGGAAACCAGCAATAAAAATGCTATCAATCTTCTCAAAGTGTAACCTAGTGTGATGATACATACCTATAATCTCCATACATGGGAGAGAGAAGCAAGAGGATTTTGAATTCAAGGGAAACTCAGGCCAACCTATGCTACATAGTGAGACCAGCCCGTGACTCAAGACAATTAAATGAAATCAATACTGAATAAATAATAGTTTCTTCCCGGGAGATGGACCTAGGTCTCTATAAACTGTTTTGTTTTGTTTAATGATTTATTTTGTTGCTTTTTGGAAGATGGTATTATTTTCTTTTTTACTTCTTTGTTCAATGAGGAAAATGTTATATATGAGTTAAGTTCTAAAACCAGTGCCCAATATCACTTCATGACATTTTAGCTCACTTTTCTCCTTCTATGCCTTGAATTCCTTCTCCTTCATCTCTGTTGTTCATTTTTCTCTGGTTCTTTCAGCACTGGACACTGTCACTAAATGAATTGTTAACCTGAATAAGGCTTTACTTAGGGCTGCCTCCCTATGATTTTGAATTTTAGACTAAAGGTTTCCTCCATCCATCATAAACTACTATCTAAACAGGCTATGACTTACTACTGTAACAGATAACCAAGTTCTGGTCAATCTGAGAAGCCAAGCTTCCTGAACCATCTTTGATCAATCTGAGGATCACAAAGTAAATAAGATTAAAAAGAAATAAAAAATGGGCCAGAAACACGGCTCAACAGAAAAAAGTATTTGCAGTCAACCCTTACAATCTGAATCGGATGTCTGGAAGGAAGAAAATTGACTTCAGAAAGTTACCCCATACACATACACAAAAAATGTAATTTAGTTTTTAATGAATAAAATTAAATCATAAGACCTACCAAGTACATTTGCTGTAATTTCCTCTACTAACTGTGCAGACAAGGGGGTTCATACTCAAACACACCAAAGCTCAAGTAGGCCAGGAAAATGTGTGAAATCAGTAATTCCAAGACAACAGTGAGAGGTCAGACCTATGGTAACCTTGAACAGGCCAAAGCCAAAGTCATTTACACATGATTTTAAAAGAAATCTTGGACAAATTAGTCTGCTGCTAAATTGAGCCAGCTGGTTTCCATCCAGACTCTACACCAGTTAATTGCCAAGCCTTGGGTTTGTGGATTCTAATTAGTACAGCATATTTAACTCAACTCCACTATACAAATTTCTATGGTAAATCCATTCATCCAAACATCCGAGAAACAAATATAAGAACACAAAGCGGCACAGACATTAAAATGCACCAATTACCTTTCACGACTGAAAGATGTTCCCCAGCACTGGGGAGAGGCTCCTGGCCCTGATCATCCCAGGGATTGCCTGCATTTAAGAAGTGGGTGACTCGGAGTATAAAGAGCAGTTTTCACTATTAGCAACTTAGAATTCTGGAAAGCTATTCAAAACTAGAGCTCCTTGAGATGTCTACGCTGGCTACCCATAGCCCTAAATCTCCCCCTGCTTCTCTCCTATTTTTCTACATTTTCACCACAGTTTTATTTTGTCAGTTGGTAATGATCCATAAACCTCCTCACTGTTAAACTACATCTCAAAGTCTGCTTCCTAAAACTAGACAGAATAACCCCAAATCCAGATGTTTTCTCCTCCTTCCACAGGTGATTGTCCTGTAAACCCTATGGGTTATTTTGGTCCCACTTTGGAAACAATGGTCCAAACTTGGGCTGCCCTGAAAATCCTAGAATAGTGAAAACATCCAAAACGGAAGTTGCAAATTTGATTATGCTTAGGTTAACTGAGAAGGTAAGCATTTGAAATTAATTCATTTTAATTCAATTTAAATAATACCATATAACAGGAACAACTAGTTTAAGTCTAAACTGTTTGCATCCCAGCTGGGCAGAGTGACAAGTAGTGGGCTGTTGTCAGTCGCTTCTTCACTGTGAGAAATGAAACTCACAGCACTGGATAAAATATGTATGACAAGGAATCATTTAATTATCCTAAGTTGTAAAAAAAAATTTTTTAACTTCCTTATGTCTTATGAAACATTCAAGAGCATGGCCAGAGCATTCCTTTGAGCTGCAGACATCAGCTGTCTCTGTGAGTCAGTCAGGGCAGGTGCTTAAGGGGCAGAGACCTGGCCTGCCATCTACTTTGGTTTGATCAGTTAAATTCTGTCACCAGTGAACAATCCCTGATCAAACAGTGAGTTTCTTCCTGCACATACTAAGCCTTGACTTAAGAGATCTGATTAAGGATCCACAGCTCCCACCCCGGAAAAAAAGCAGCAGCTAAACCCAGCCATTTTCTCTCAGCAGCTACCTAGTAACTCAGTGGGCTCCTGGGGACAGAGAGGGACTCTAAGGACCTCTAAAACCCAAATGCAGTTGCCTTGTGATTCTGAAGGACTGGGTTTAAGCGAATACCAAAGAAAACCTATCCCTGTCTATGTAAGAAGTCCATCTTCCTTCCTCCTCTCAGCCCCTGCCCCCTGTTTGAAATTACTTCCTGCTATATGATTATCAGAAGCTAATAGGAGATACTCTCGGGTCTAGGAAGCAACAGATACCACTGTGGCCTGGGGACAGTGGAGTGATTTGAGGTGTTAATGCACCATCTAGTCCTCTAGAGAAAGGTTAACGCTTGGGCTCGAATCACATGTGAAAATGAAGCAGTGGCCTGGTTGTTGCCCCTTGTGGACATTTCTCCACAGTGTAGAAGCCTGGCCCAGCTGGTGACTGTAGTTCATCAAAGCTATGGCAAGAGAACACGGAGCCTGTAAAGTTAACACACTTCCTCACTTTCCCCTAAAAGTGGCCATTAAGCTATGTGTGAATAAAAACTCCTTAAAGGCAAGGAATGAATACAGGATTTCCAGTTTCCTATTTCAAAAATGGGCTACCTCGGAGCATGCTAACCCTTAGTCCATAGTGCCCTCCCCCCCTTCTACCCTGGGAGAATTTTAATTTGACTTCTGTAGTGCCTCTATTCAGTTAGCAGTAAGTATGTGTCTTCTGAGTGCTAAGCCACCCTTCAAAAAACATGCCCTGTCCATGTCTGTAGAGAAGACAGGCATGTGAAAACTGTACTCTTTCAGAACGAATAAATTCTAAAGAAATCACTGAACAGGCAGGAGTAGATTGCCTTGAGCAAGATAGGAATGATTCCTGAGTGAGTCTAGGGAATCCAGGAAGTTTGGTGGGGGCAGAGGTAAAGAGACTGCCAAGGCAACACTCTTTGAGTTATGGTTTGATAATAAATTCCCAAACAGGAGGCGCCATTCATGCCAGCATTTATCAGTACCCATGCAAACCTGCATTTGAACACTTACCACTACCCCACATCTCCTAGTACTGATAGCATATCCATTCTCTGCACCGTATTTGTCTGCTTACATGTGTGGTTGCACAGTGTGTTCCTGTTCATGTACATTCCATTTTTCCCTTCATGGTTCTATTTTATACATTTCTTGAAGTGTTATCTTTTAAAAGTCAGAGTGCAACTTGCCATGTTTTTTTTTCTTGGTCACATGATGGGAATCACATGAGGAGATGAACTTTAAAGGCATGAACCCTAACTACCTAAGAAGAAGGACTCCTACTCTCCTTTGATGTGAAATACGAATCTGAAACAAATTTTTGTAGTATTGCATCAATGGAATTTGGGAAGGCTGTTTCGGTTTTTTGGGTTTTTGGTTTTTTTGTTGTTTTTTGGGTTTCTCTTTGGGGGTGGTGTTATTTTTTTAACTTCAATGAACTTTTTTAAAGATTAAATTAGAAACAAGCTTGCTTCAGAGTCAATCCTTGCTCCCTCTCCCTCACACCAGGCTCTTCAGAACCCCACCAAATCCCCACTCCATTCTCCAGTATAGAGATCCTCCATGGGGGATCTCCAGAGTCTGTCATTTCATCCAGGGCAGGGCCTAGGCCCTTCCCCAAGAGTCCAGGCTGAGAGAGCATCCCTCATTGTGGGATGGGCACACAAAGTCCATTTGTATGCCAGGGATAAGTACTACCCAAGGCCCCATAGATCCTAGGCCTCCTCACTGACACCCACATTCAGGGGGTCTGGATCAGTCCCATGCTGGCCTCCCAGCCATCAGTCTGGGGTCCAAGAGCACCCCCTTGTTCAGGTCAGCTGTTTCTGTGGGTTTCACCAGCCCACTTTGCTCATCAGTCCTCCCTCTCTGTCACTGGATTCCAGGAGTTCAGTTCAGTATGTAGCTGTGGGTGTTTGTCTCTGCTTCCATCAGTCACTGGATGAAGGTTCTTTTTCCCAGAATCTCTAGCAATGGGATTGTAGCCTAGCACTCCTCTGATCCATGTCTAAAATCCATATATGAGTGAGTAAATAGCATGTTTGTCTTTTTGTGACTGGGTTACCTCACTCAGGATGGTTTCTTCTAGTGCCATCCATTTGCCTGCAAATTTCAAGATTCCATTGGTTTTTTCTGCTGAATAGTACTCCATTGTGTAAATGTACCACATTTTCTCTATCCACTCTTCAGTTAAGGGGCATCTAGGTTGCTTCCAGGTTCTGGCTATTACAAATAATGCTGCAATGAATATAGTGGAACAGACGTCCTTGTTGTATGAATGTGCATCTTTTGGGTATATGCCTAACAGGGGAATTGCTGGGTCTTGAGGTAGACTGATTCCCATTTCCTGAGAAATCTCCATACTGATTTCCAATGTTCCCTTTTCTCCACATCCTCGCCAGCATAAATTGTCATTGGTTGTTGGGGAAGTCCTGTGTATATGTCAATAAAGCATTGTTGGCCAATAGGGAAGCAAGATATGTGGGACTAGGAGTCCAGGAGGATGCTGGGAAGGAGGGAGTCAAGATGTAACTGCCATAGGGATAAGAAGCCCGGAAAGTTCTCCGGTAAGAGAAACACTTAGATTAACAATTATGGGATAAATACTTAAGTCAGAGCTAGCCAGTAAGAAACAGGCAAGGCCAACAGCTTCATAATTAATATAGCCTCCTGTGTGTTTATTTGGGACTGATGTGACTCTGGAACCAGGCTGGCGGAAAGGCTTCTCTCTACAATTGGTGTTTTTTATTCAGCCATTCTGACAGGAGTAAGATGGTATCTCAGAATGGTTTTGAGTTGCATTTCCCTGATGGCTAGGGATGTTGAGCACTTTCTTAAGTGTCTCTCAGCCATTTTAGACTCCTCTATTGAGAATTCCCTACTTAGTTCTGTACCCTACTTTTTAATTGGCTCCTTTGGTGTTTTGGAGACTTGCTTCTTGAGTTCTTTGTAAAATTTGGAGATCAGCCCTCTGTCAGATATGGGGTTAGTGAATATCTTTTCCCATTCTGTGGGCTGTAGTTTTGTCTTGTTGACTGTGTCCTTTGCCTTACAGAAGCTTCTCAGTTCCAGGAGGTCCCACTTATTAATTGTTGATCTCAGTGTCTGTGCTACAGGAGTTATGTTCAGGAAGCAGTCTCCTGTATCAATTCGTTCAAGGGTACCCCCATTTTTTTCTAAGTATGGCTGGATTTATGTTGAAGTCTTTGATCCATTTGGACTTAAAGTTTTGTGCATGGCAATAGACATAGATCTATCTGCAGTCTTCTACATGCCAGCATCCAGTTATGCCAGCACCATTTGTTGAAGATGCTTTCTTTTTTCCATTGTATAATTTTAGCTTCTTTGTCAAAGATCAGGTGTTCATACATGTATGGGTTAATATCAGGGTGCTCAATTCAATTCCATGGGTCTACCTGTCTATTTTTGTGCCAATACCCAAGCTGTTTTCAGGACTATAGCCCTGTAATAGAGCTTGGAGTCAGTGGGGAGGACGGGTTCTTACTGCCCCATGATCTTGCCTAGCTCACAATTACAATGTATTAGGATCCCCATGAGATTGTGAGAGTACTTAAAACAGAAGTTACACATATAGTTTGTATTTCTGGTACTACCATATAACATGCAGTGAGCAAATGTTTGTTGGATAGTATACAAGTGTGACTAGCCTTTTTTCAAAGTAGCTTGGTAGTAATTTAATTCTAATGTGATTTTTTAAAAGTGAAAAATTGCTGATAAAATTGAGCTCTGCTGATAGTTAAGATGGGAAATGATCATTGGAGAATCAATGGAAGCAGCATCTTTGAATGTAATGTCAATCATGTGCATAAGATATAGTAATGCACAATAATGTTTGTAAAAATGGCCCAGTTATTTGCTTTTAATGCTTACTTGCATTGAATACAAATGCAAGAAAAGAAAAGAAAAAAAAGTTTAATGCCATGCAGGATCACATCCATTATTTTTGTAATTGTGTCTCTAACTGACACTAGGGGGGAATGAGCACCACATTCTCAAACCAAGAAGAAAGATCAGTAATTAGAGAAAGAATCAATTCCTTAAAGGCTTTAAATTTGGAATCAACTCAATTACTTCCCCCTTGAAAAACTATATCCATTATTTGAAAGCACTTCTCAAGCTTCTTAGTCATCCTATTTATACTTTATCTTCAATTACTTTTCTCATTGTATTTTGCATAGAATACATTTCCAATTTCCTGCTTAATTCCCTATCTACACCCCTGGGTATCTGAGGCTAGTCATCTCAACGTGGAACATATGTAAGTAATAATGCAATGTACTCTCCTACATGTTTCAGGGACAAATATTTGTTCCTCATTACTCCTTGTGGTATCCACTTATTGGAACCAGGTCTTTGCTGGGAGGCACAAGGAGAATCTGTCATAAATTTTAAAAGGGTGTCCTTTTCCAGCATATTTCTGTGAAAAGAAGGCTTTAATGATGTCAGTCTTTTAGTACAACTTCAATTTACATTTCACTGAGGAAGATGAATCACTGTGAATTCCAATTAAAAGGTTATTACTCAAGCCAGTGTTAGGAAAAGCTAATTGCTATAATAACTAGACCTAAACTGTGAGGTTCAAAGCAATAGGAAGGCATCTTGCTTATTACTGAATGGTGTTTGGGAACATTCAGAATACAGCCACCTCTTCTCCGACAGGTCATTCCCAGGTTCTCTTTACCGTCCATTGGCTTTTGGTCACTCAACCAGTGGCAAGAAAGTTTAAACATTACATAGTCGAGCCTTGCAATGACATAGTTGACAGTCTGGCAGTCATATTTAATCAAATGAGGCTATCTAGGAAAATGGACAGTGGATTTGGGGGTTTATCTGACAACCCTTATCACAACATTAAGTTGATGCACCTGTGGAATTGGAAAGACCAAGGGAAATGAAGATATGAATGAACTAACATGTAATTGGTGTACAACATCAATGCATAAAAGTTAAGTTTCAGTAGACTGGATCATATGCCCTCTCCTCTTCCAAGATCATCACTGAGTAACATAATATAATTCTTAGGATTTGTTCTTAAAGAATGGTCTGTACACTGACATGTCCCTGAAACCCTATCAGGCAGACCGGAGGATCAAAAACCAATGCTCAGGGACCATTACAGAAGAGGTGGCAGAAAAATGTTAAGAGCTGGAGAACAGGGACTTTGCTGTGAGACTGTCTCCCTGAAATGTCACAAGCTACACTCATAAAGTCTTACCAACATGACTGCCTAAACATGGACTGGACAAGAATGTCACCAAGAGACATGTAACATGGACAAAGGAAAGTTCACAGTGTCTAAACTCTACACAAAGAATTAAGGACTACTGAGAGGTGGAGAAGTAGTCTTTCCAGGGGAGAGCTCACCGACTCTTCAATACCAAATGGTCAGGCCTGAAAACATACATACAAGAAACATTATATGACTGAGCAGGTTATTGTATTTAAGAATACGCACACACACACACACACACACACACACACACACCAATTAATGAAAAAAGAGGGTATGGATTGGGGAAAAAGAGCAAGGAGGGTTTGTGGGATAATTTGAGAGGAAGAAATGATTTCATTATAATATTTAAAAAATAATTTTAAAAGCATTTTTGTAAAAACTCTAAGATATTGACTGTCTTATTCATTACCATTTTCATTAGCTATACAGAATCAATGCTGATGAAACCTGCTGGAATTTTAGCACATATCAATTCATGGGCTCACGGGTTTTTGTTTTTGTTTTTAAATTGTTGGGAAGGATATAAGAAAAAATGGATTTGCCTCAAAATCCTTGATGAAGCAGTAAAAATTTAGTTATTAAATATAATCTCTTAAAGATATATCTTCCTAATGTTGTATGTGTCAAAATGAAAACTATGTATAAAGTGTTTTTGCTGCATGTCCAAAAGTGACACTTGTCTCACAGAAAGTCTCATAAGCAGCTCTTTGAATTGTAATCTATACCAGTCACTATTGTCATTAGCCAGACTTGGTGGCACAAGTCTGGCTAATTCTAGCACTTGGAAGGCTGAGGCAGGACAATCTCAACTTTAGGGTCAGCCTACCCTACATAAAAAGATCTGTCTCCCAAATCTGTGACATTAATGATTGTTTAGGAGATAAAAGAATGCCAATATTTAGAAATGCCACATAGCTCAGTAAACAATATTTTCCAAAGATCCTAAGATCATATATGACAAGCCTGACAACATAACTGTGGGATTAGTTTTGTTTGGTTATTTTGATGGTTTTTGTTTTGTTTTGTTTTCAGACGTGATACAAGTTTCAATCATCCAAGAAGAGGGAACCTCAATTGAAAACATGTCTCTAACATATAAGCAACCCTGTAGGGCATTTTCTTGATTGATGGGAGGGTTCAGCCCAGTGTGGATAGTGCTCTCCCTTGGCAGATGATCCTGAGTTGTACAAGAAAGCAAACAGGGCTGAAGAGATGGCTCAGAGGTTAAAAGCACTGATCTCACTTCCAGAGGTCCTGAGTTCAATTCCCAGCAACCTTGTGGTGGTTTACAACCATCTGTTATGAGATCTGGTGCCCTCTTCTGGTATGCAGGTATACATGCAGGCAGAACACTGTATACATGACAAATAAGTTTAAAAAGAAGAAGTCAGGAAAGAAGGAAGCAAATCATGAAATCCAGGAGGAACAAGTCAGTAAGCAGTGTTCCTCCATGGTCTCTATATGTTTCTACCTCCAGGTTCCTGCTTTGAATTCCTGCCCTGACTTCCCTTAATAACGGACTACCATATGGAAGTGTAAGCCAAATAAATTCTTTCCCCTGCAAGTTGTTTTTGGATGGTGTTCTATCACAGAAGAAGAAAATAACTGAAACTAAACTACACATCTATAATCACGGCACTCAGGAGGCTGATGCAGAGTCAAAGCACAAGAATGCTCTTGGCTACTTGGTGATGTCCTATCTTTAAAAGTAAAATGGTGAAAGGTAAACTAGCTTGGAGTTGATGCAACAAGTAGTAAAAGCTCATTAATGTGACTTCAAGTACCACAGAGCAGCTAACTTTAAAGAAACTTTAAAGTTCTGATATTGCATCCTAACATAGTATCCACAATCAGGAAAGTGCTATTAAAATATTTCTCTTTTGCAGCAACCATGTGTGAGCCGCGTGTGCGTGCGTGTGTGCGTGTGTGTGTGTGTGTTTATGCAATAGAATTTTATTCATCTCATATCCCTTTGGTCCTGGGAAGTCCAAAAACCTGGCACCAACACTCAGCAAGGGACCCTATGTGGAATCATAGTATGGATGTCTACTTTTCTTAATATGTTTCCACTAAATCCCAAAAGCTATCTTCCACTAAGACAAGATATTTGAAAAAATGTAAAGTAATATCATTCTTAATTTATTTTTATTTATAAAGTACAATTACAGTTCATAAAATTTGTTACACATTAACATGTGTAATAGTAATAGTATACTATTTTTTCAATAAAGTAAACATTCTTTTTATCTTTAAGTTTTATTTTCAAGTATGGGAACTACAATAAAAAAGTTCTTTAAAGTTCTTTGGGACCCTAGTTCAATGCTCTCGTTTTATTGATGAAGACATAAAAGTTTACTAATTCAGTAAGTCTTACTAATAAGCATGATTACTAACCTCAAAATTATGCAAATTAAGTGGCTGAAATCAACCTAAGACCTGGAGAGAAGAGCCAGCAACATGGAGAAGAAAGTTTGTAAAATATGATAAAATCAACAATATGGAAAAATCCCTCAAGAAAATTAATATTTAAATAAAGCAAATAGTAATGCTGGAAATGTAGAAACTCAGTGACTCAAACAAAAATTAGTGAAGAATATTGGTAACAGACTGAAGCAAGCAGAAGAAAGAAAGATGGAGGACAAAGTTGGCAAAATACGGCATCCTACTATTGTATTATTTGTTTTTCTTCTGCTGTGTAAAAGCTCCCTAACCAAAGGAAACTTAAGAGGAAAAAGGAGTTCACTTTGGCCTATACAGTTCTAGAGGGGTGAAATCTTGTCATGGTGGAGCAATGGCATTGCAGCAAGCAGCAGGCACCGGAAGCTAAGCACTCAAGCATGGAGCAGAGAGAGCAAATTAGAAACAGGGTGAGGTCTAAACTTCTCAACATCCACCCTCAAGTGACACCCTTCCTACAGCAAGGTCACATCTCCTAAACCTCCCCAAGTAGCACCACCAAGTGGGACCACGTGTTCAAATGCCTGAGACTATGGGGAACATTTCTCAATCAAGCCACCATAACTATAAATAAGGAAAACTGGGACACAATCTAGGGATCAAACCTAAGAATGCATGGGATAAAAGAAGGAGCTAAATTAAACAGTAAGGGATAGACAATCTATTCAGCGATGTTACAGTAGAAATTTCTTCACATATAGAGAAATAGACATTAAACTACAAGAGGCAATTAGATATGACCAGAGAAGAACTATAACATATTATAGACAAGATGTCGAAAAAAAAGTAAAAATTACAACTTACTTATAAAGGCACAGATATCAGAATAGCATCAGATTTCTTACCAGTAGGTCTTACTGTTCTACTGCTGTGAATAGACCCTGTGACCAAGGCAACTCATATAAAAGGAAGCATTTAACTGAGGGCTTGCCTACAGTTTCATAGGGTTAGTTCATTATTGTCGTGGCAGAGCAGTAGTCATGGCACTAGAGTAGTAGCTGAAAGCTTTACATTCTGACCCACAGTCAGCATTCATAGAAAGAGCTTTTGAAGCATTGAAACTCACCTCAACAACACACCACATCCAACAAGGACATACCTACTCCAACAAGGTCCTAATCCTTCCAAACCGTTTATAGTAGGGGAATAAGCAAACAAATATATGAACATATATAGGGGGAGGCGGTCTCAGTCAAACCACCACAAATGCCAAAAACCAGTTAAGCATATAATGATGTATATTCTTCAAGTCCTGAACATGGATGTCAACTACTAGAGCTATAGTCAGCAAAGATCATTTTAAATCAGTGGAAGAATAAGGGACAGGCACAAACTAAAGCGGTTCAAGCCAGCACTGCAGAAGAATTCCAGTTACACAGAGGAGGAAGAAAACCAGTCTCCATCCTGAAAACACTGCAAAGATTACAGTTCAACAGATGAATGGGTGGGAAAAGGAGATTTAGGAAGGAGTCCACCCTAGAAAACAAGCAAGCCCCTGACACCAAACAGGGAGAAAGTAAAGAGCAAACAATAACCCAACCAACACACACACACACACACACAAGAATAAACACTTGTCAGAATAAATATACATAAATAGCATCAATTCATCAGTAAAGAGACACTGGTGAATGGGTTAAGAAATAGATAATAATGTGGTACATTTACACAATGGAGTACTATTCAGCAGAAAAAAAAAACAATGGAATCCTGAGATTTGCAGGCAAATGGATGGCACTAGAAGAAACCATCCTGAGAGAGGTAACCCAGTCACAAAAAGAGAAACATGGCATGTACTCTCTCGTATATGGATTTTAGACATAGATCTGGGGAGTGCCAGCCTACAATCCCATGGCCAGAGAGTCTGGGAAACAGAACCTTCATTCAGTGGCTGATAGAAGAAGAGGCAGACTCCCACGGCTAAGTACTGAGCTGAACTCAAGAAAGCCAGTAACAGAGAGGGAGGACTGATGACCAAAGGGATTAAGACCGGGCTGGTGCCAGGCGGTGGTGGCGCATCCCTTTAATCCCAGCACTCGGGAGGCAGAGGCAGGTGGATCTCTGTGAGTTCGAGGCCGGGCTGGACCAATAGCCTCCAAAACAATACAGAGAAACCCTGTCTCGTAAAACTCAAAAAATAAAAAAATAAAAAAGACTGGGCTGGTTTAACCCCCAGAAACAGCTGACCTGACAAGGGTTAACTCTTGAATCCCAGGATGATGCCTGGGAATCCAGCATGGGACTCATCAAGACCCCCTGAATGGGGGTGTCAGTGAGGAGGCCTAGGTAATCTATTGAGCCTTGGGCAGTAGATCAGTATTTATCACAAGTATATACATGGACTTTGAACTCCCATCCAACAATGTGAGATGCACTCTCACCCTGAACTCTTGGGGGAGAGTCTAGGCCCTGCCCTGGATGAAATGACAGACTATGGACACCTTCATGTAGGGCCTCACCCTCCCTGGGGAAATGAGGGGATATTGGGAGGGTTGGGGGGAGGGCACGGGAGGAGGGGAGGGAAACGGAGAGGGACCTGGAACTGACTTGTGAAGCAACCTTGTTTTTAATCTAAATTTAAATTTAAAAATAAATAATAAAAAAGAAATAGATAATAGCTTTCTTTTGTCTTGAAAACCCACCTCACTAGTGAAGACACCCTCAGATGATCAAAGAGTGGGAACAATGTATCAACTGAAAGAAACTGACGAACTGTGTGTCTGTTGCTACCTGATAAATAAACTGAAAACAAAATGCTCATGGGCCAAATACTGGGGCTCTCAATTTTACAAAAGAAACATCAATGGACACAAAAAAATCAGGTAGATCCTGATACGATAATAGTGGCTGATTTCAATACCACATTCTCATATCTACATTGGTGACCCAAACTAAAAGTCAATGAAGAAACCCCAAAGTAAAGCTTTACCACAGGTCAAATATACAAATATTTACAGAATATGGACAAAAAACATTTTCTCAGTAGCTGATAGAATCTCCTTTAAAAATGGATCACATTCTAGGCCATAAGTCAAGTCTTAATAATTACAAGGATTCATAATAATTTGTCTCATCAGATCAACAATGTTAAAACTAGACATCAATAACAAATAAAACTGTAAAAACTAAAAAATACATATGAACATTGAAAACACTACAGAACTGACTGACTAGTGAGTCACTGAAAAATGAGGAAACTAAAATTTTTCCTACTATCAAATGAGAATGAAAGCAGAAACATTTGGGGTGGAGCCAAAGCAGTTCTAAGAGGAAAGTTTATAGCTTTGAGTGTTTTCATTGAAAAATCAGAAAGATCACAAATAGATAACCTAATGATACACCTCAAGGTACCAAAAGAAAAATGCAAACCCCAAGAAATAGGGAGATCAGAACAGAATTATGAAATGAAAACTGAAAAAATAATACCTAAAATCAATTAAATAAGGATTGAAAAATAAAATTTAAAAATCTGTACTCAAACTAGCCAAAGGAGAATAAGCCCAAATTAATAAAATTAGAGATGGAAAGGGGAAGGTTATTACAGGTTACAATGAAATACAGAGAATTATTAGAGAGTACTCTGAAAATGTATTTTCAAAACAGGAAAATCTAGAAAAAAATTCTTAGGCAAATATGATATCTTACAATTTTAAATTGAGATGACAAAAACAATTTTTAAAAGATCAATAACAATCAACAAAAATGACACAATGGCAAAAAGACTCCCAAGACTAGAACAAAATGGATTCGCTGCCAAGTTCTACCAAACCTTTAAAGCAAACACCAATGTTCCTCAAACTTTTCCTCAATACACAAAGGAAAACAGCATTGCTCAAGTCACTGTGTGAAGTAGGCATTAGCCTGATACTAAAGCCAGGCAAGTACACAACAAATAAAGCAAGCTGTGAACCAATTTCCCTTAATAACACAGATCCAAATGCTTTTCATCAAAGTCATGCACATCAATTTTAAGAGAATGTTAAGAAGAGCATCTCTGTAAGTCTGACCTGGTAGCACATGTCTTTGATCCTAGCACTCGGGAAGCAAAAGCAGGCTAGCTAA